TTGTTATCCTTAATCCTGGACGCTAATCCGAGCTCTATCTCCGCCTTGGCCTTCCTAACAGCCCGCCTGCAGGCCCGAGCAGAGGAGGTATACTCCTCTTTGGAGATTACACCCCCCTTCCACCGGGCGTACGCCACCCTTTTGGCAAGCAGGCATTCCCGGACACCCTTGGTGAGCCAGGGGGGCTTTTGGACACTCCTGCCCGCCTTGCTTCTTGTCGGGATGGACACCCCTTGGGCCCCGAGTATCGTTTCCTTAAGGAACGACCACTCCTCTTGGACGCTGAGTTCCTCTGCCCTCAAGGACCCCAGTTCCTCTCCCACTAATCTCCTCATCTCACTGAAGTTGGCCCTCCTGAAGTCTAGGGCCACCACCTTGCTGCGGGCCCTTGACACTCTACGCTGGATGGTGAATTCCAGCACGCGATGATCACTATTGCCCAGGTGGTCAAGAACCTGGAGGCCTCTTACCAGGTCGTCGCCTGCGGCCAGGACCAGGTCCAGCAGGGCATCTCCTCTGGTGGGACTGTGCACCTCCTGAATCAAGTGGAGGTCCTGCAACTCGGCCAAGAACCTCCTGGAGCGGTCCATCCCGGCTGACTGCTCCTCCCAGCAGATGTCCGGGTAATTAAAATCACCCATGACAACTACATCCCTTGCTTTTAGTGTCTCCGCAAGCTGGCCTGAAAATTCCCTGTCCAGCTCCTCCTCCTGATTGGGGGGTCTGTAATAGACCCCCACCGTCAAATCCCTCTCGCCTTGCCCCCCCTGGATCTTGACCCAGAGCACTTCAGCTCGCCCTTCCCCTGACCCCATACTGCTGGCAGAGGATGTGTAGTGCTCCTTGACATAAAGTGCCCCCCCCCCCCTTTTGCCTGTACAGCCTATAGCCCCTAATGTTAACTGCCCAGTCATGGGATGAGTCCCACCATGTCTCTGTTAACCCTACGACATCTGGATTTGAACTAGCTATTCTGAGGGCGAGTTCCTCCTGTTTGTTCCCCATGCTACGAGCATTGGTGTACAGGCATTTAAGGCCTTGCAAGACTGTGTGCCCCCCCCGATTAGGCAGACCATCAGGACCCCCATTACTTACCTTTGCACTCCTTGCCCTGATGGCGTCTCCTCGTCTTCCTGCAGCCCCTTCCTGCAGGTTGTGGAATCTTCATTCTTGGGAATTTTTAAGACCAGGTTAGACAGACACTTGACAAGGGTGGTTTTGTCAGAGACAATCCTGCTTTAAGGATTTGGACTAGATGACTTACTGAGTTTTCTTCCAGTCCTATTTTTCCATTATTCTATAAGGCCCTATGAGCACCAGCTTTATAAAAAAGAATTCAAAGATAAGACGTTCCTTAGGTTTACTAATAAGTGTTTCCTTAGGTTTAACAGGGATAATTCTTGCCTATCTTGCTGGGGCAAGGCAGTGTGGAAGAAATCAAACTTCGCGTTGTGGTTGTATCAGAATTGACAGAGCCATCTTGGTTTATTTAAAGCTACACAAGCGATCACAAGGAGGGTTCTCAAAGGAACTCTGACCTCTACACGTTTACAAGCGTATTTATACTTTAGACAGCGAGAAAAGATGCAGGGTTCAGACAAAGCAACCTTGAAAGAAACAGGAAGAAGTTGATCATTCATTTGTCACACATAAGCAGTTTACTTTTTCAGCAAACGCATTGTGTTTTGGGAACAGCTATCAGTTTTTTTTTTGGTTCCTGGAAAGGAGGAGGTTAACATCTGCACACAGACAAAACAAGGCATGAAGGTTTTTCCTTATCTTAGAACATTTTAAAATACATAGCATCAGCATCTTTTTCTCTTCTCTTTCTCTCTCTTCTTAGTCAAGTAAGAGGCCTGGTTAAACTTATTTCCACAGCAGGCATCAATATGCCCACTACCTAATACCTAAGGCAATTTTTTAAATTCAAAACATTATGTAGCATTAATTATTCCTGGTGAAAACATTGATAAAATTAGGTAGAAGGTCTGTCAGAAAGGCCTCTAAAAGATAGTCCATGATTTAAAAAAGAACTACTGATTATGGATACCCAAATAAGCACATTAAAGAACCATCTGAAATGCCTAGCATGAATAATGGCTCATGTTAAGCATTCAGGCAGTCTTATGTTTCCAAATCACTTATCACAGCCTGGCCAGAATGTCTGTTCTATTTCTGGTAGCCCTCTCCCACTCCCACCTCAAGGACAATTATTTTTTTAGCCAGAAGAAATAATCTGATAATAACCTGCTGAATACTAATAAATGGGCCATTTGGCACTAATGCAGTACCAATTAAAACTAGTGTTCCAGTTATAGTAACCTGCCCTAGAGTGAAGGCTGAGGTGCCTAGCTCTTGATACAATCTGTACAAAGGCCATGAATTATAGCAAATGTTACATTATATTTAACTCTCCTGGTTCTCCATTCCATTGAGAAATCCAGTTTTACATAGGAGTAGAGATTGGGTGCTAAACACAGAGACAATGCACAATAGTCTCATAAGGCATGATCCTGGTGTCCAATGAAAGTCTATTGACTTCAGTGAAATTACTCCAAGTTAACACCAAATGAGAGCAGGTTTAAGCCTTAAAATGTACTGGCTGTAACTTCCTTTTGCAAAAAATCAGAGCAAGCTATTCCTGCAGATTTTGCATTTAGCCTTTTCTCAAGGACATGGTGAACTAGGAAACAACCTTAAGAATAAACTGTTTGTTAAAAATATAAATATAGTATTTGGTTTACCTCATTTTTCCAGCTGCCACTTAAATATGCAATAAATCAAAGGAACATAACAAGGAATATAGAAAAGTGCATTGTTCCACTGAAGAAAAATCATGTGGGAAAAGCCCTATAATACACTTTATAAAAGCCTAGAATGCAAGTATTATGCACTTTTTGCGTTACTTCTGACTTTATAAACAGCTGCTCAAGACTTAATGTATTAGTTTAATTTGGGATTGCCTTTGTCTGGGATTTGTTATCTGTGAAAAAGATTTTTGATGCTTGAGGTATCTCTGAGATTTCATAGATCTGAAGACCCCCAAATCAAGGGTTGTCATCATCTCAATTATGAGTATAAAACACTTCTGTCTACTGAAAATGAGCTTGGAAAAGGAAAATAAGTATATGAGTTTCAGGGTATCACATACAGTTACATTTTATGTTTTCACAGTAACAGTAAATAAAATAAAATAAAATTGTTATTTGGGTCATTTTAAGAATTGATTTAAAGCTATAATCAGAGTTTGAAAATCCTCAAGCTCACAGAGATTCAGACTAGACACCACAGTTTGGAAACATTATTAGACTGAACATTTGCTCATTTAGGTCCAAAGTTCTCCTTTGAGCATCCAGTTTGAGTGTGTGGGTTAGGCACTGACTAAAAAGGGGTACACATTGAAGTGGGACAAGATTTTATGCAGAGACTCACATTTATTCAGGATAATGGCATGGGAAAATTCTGCAGTTGCTAAGATACTCCTTCCAAAAGAAAAGAAAACCAGAATATCCATATAGTGCAGGTACTCTCACTTTCTGCTTATCCATATGTTTCCTGCACCACCTCTAAACATACCATGTACTGCTGCGTAGCAAGTACTCACAGACTTTTGGCCACATCATAATGGAATTCACAATCTCCACCAAAGGTGTCACAGGGCAGCTCTGTGCTCAGGGCACCCATGACACCTGGAGCAGTGCTGGCTGCCGCCATGCTCGTGGCAGCAGTGGCTATTCTTATGCCCCCCACATAAAGGTAATGCCTGGTGCTGCTGTTCCAGTTGCCCCCTCATTTTTTATACCAATCTCTGCCTCTTCCTTTGTGTAATTGAAATGTACCAATTCTGATTTTTGCAGACTGAAAAGTAGAGGGCTAGTATTCACTTTGGAGGAAGAACACAGTGTAGGTACAGACTTTATTAAATATACAGTATTGCCAGTGCCAAGGCTTAGTTCAACTACTTTTTCCACCCAAAATGTATAACAGCTTGTGTTATTGCCTAGAAGCTTCCAGGCAACTCCAATTCAGTTATAAATCACACAGACTACAGGCCAATGAGAGAGAGCTACCTTTCCTTTTGCAGAACAGTTTCTATACAGAAGCATGAAGTGATGGCAATTTCTTAAAAAAACAAATAGTTTTTCTTTACTCTCCCACAGAAATAGCAGCACTTCTGCTCGTTACTTAATCATTCCTTTTCTTGATTTCAAAAGTAAACACAGATATATGACTGGGTTGTCCAAACTGGACATAGTCTCCAGTATGTGAGATCAGTGTTTTGTCCAGCTATAGAGCAAATAATTACTAAAACAGGTCACTTGAACTCACACAGTACACAAAGTACACAATACACTGTGTGGTATTTCTGATTTGTTTGTGGTAACACTTTGGTCATCAGCACTCCACACTGCAAGTAGACTGTCTTAAACTTAACAATAATAGCTGCACAAATGGCCTTGTTTCAAATTCTACATTAATCACTAAAGACTGATTCCTCCCTTGCATGAGAAAAAATCCAAGAAAAATGCCAAGAAATTAAAATTCAGTGTTTTTTTTTCCATTGAAGGGTCATGGTTTGAGCCTCACAATGCTGCAAGATGGATGGCCCTCCAAAACATAAGTTAGCCCAGTGTTCTTAGGGAAATACTTCAGATCTCAGACTATCCAAAGGGAAGCCTAGAGTCTCTTCTCTCAGGAACCATGTTCCTCATGGACTGACCATGGATGGCATCCCTTAAAAAGGTCACCTTTGTGTATACTGGTTTGAGTTTGGGAAGTGATGCTGCCTTGGAGAGTGGCTATTCCCTTGCTCTCAAATCATAAAAAGGGGCTTCTGCAGTCTCAAGGCTGCTGAAGGCATGATGATAGGCTCAATTCCATTTCCTCTGAACACATTTTTTAATGGAACAAATGAGGTGGATGACCTGACATTTACATATACTGGACATGTGTTTGCTGCAAAGCTAGTTCACTAACTAATCCACTGTTGTATATTATAGGTTATGGACTGTGCAATGCCTTTGATTGGTGAACATCAGGCTGAAGACAGGCAACATATAACTGAGCTGGTTGTAAGCAAAATGAACCAAACGTTATCCAAAACACCTATACCATCTCCTCAGAGACCCACTGCCACTCAACAGCCTCAAGTATGTAACTTTTGCTTTTTTTTAATGCACAGTAAAATGCTCTGTATCAATTTGAGAACAATATTTCACTTGCTTCAAATAATTTAGCATGAGAAATTTTATACAGCTACAACTTCAAGGATTCAAAAACTTCCTAGCATGCAACTCCCAGCAAGAGGATTTATATGCCATAGTCTATGCTGCACACAACTGTCATTTTTAGAAGGCATTGTTTCTGGGAAAACATAAGCATTGGGACTCATAGAAATGAAAGAGACACTGCAGTAGATATCACTTGCCTTGATTTGCCTAGACAAGTGGCCTTAAAAAAGTAGTTTTTTTCTTGAGAACTGCTTTGTGTAAAGCTAATAATGTAATCATATCATTAAGCTAATGGGCAAACTAGTAGAAGGGTGGGAGGGAATGCACTGGATCAAAATTAAAATGCACCAGAACTGTTTACTGCATTTGGTAGAGCAGTTTCAATATGAGATTGTTTGGGTGAAAATGTTAACTTGCAGTGTTACCAGAAAGAAGCAATATTCCTCTTGTCGTACATGTTCTAATGGCTTGAAGACAGGACTTTGAGTTCCAATCCTGACTTTACCCCAAATTCTCTTATGATCTTGGACAAGTCACTTTGGCTAGCATTCTCTTTCCTTCCTGATCATCTAAGTGACCAGATTTGGTCATCTGCATGGCATTTTTGGACATCTAAGTGCCAAAAATGCCAGTTATGCCCAGTTAGGAATGCTATTCCTGGCCACAAAGCCTGGGCAAGTATGTGGATAAGGAGGCAGACAATGAGTGCCTTCCTGTCTTTTGCCCATTAGCCAAGTGGCTAGAGTGCTTGTCCAGGAAGTTGAAGAACCTATTCTAATCCCCAATCTTTCCCCAGAATGGTATTTAAACTTGCATCTCTCTGACTTCCCAGCATAACATGCTAACTGCTTTGCCACAGGTATCCATTACCCAGTGTATTCTCCAACTCTCCTTTTAAATGTAACCCTCTCCAGATAGCCATAAGAGGGAGGTATGTGGGAAATATGTGAGGCCGGAAAGAAAAATAAGCCAGAGGTTATGTGGCTCAGTGAAGTGGCTGCTGTCCTGGAAGGGAGGGATACCTCAGTTCTAGTGTGGACCCTTATGCCCAATGAGGCAGAAATTTCTCAGCTGCTCTCCACCCATGTTATCCAATGACTATATTGAATGCAAGGGGCAGTAGATCCATTTCAAAAGGAGCTGGGTTTTTGGTTGTAGCCGTGTTGGTCAAAGGACATAGGCAGGCAAGGTTCTTTGAGTAGATGTGATATCTTTTATTAGACCAGCTAAGTAGTTGACAAAAATTTCTTGGCAAGCTTTCAGGAGCAGTCACCCTTCATTAGGCACGGGGAGCCTCTACTGTTCTGAGACACCAAGAAATGAAAAAAGCTAAAAGTGTGGCAGAATGTCAATGAAAATGTAAATAGGTAAAATTAGAAAGACAAAAGGTGAGGCAGAGAGGTGAAGCAGAAGGGGGAGGGGGAAGAGAGCAGGGGAAAAAGGCTGAAGGGAGACAGTGCAGTGATAAAGTACAAGGTAGAAAAGAGGCTGTCAGGCAGGTACCTGGTGAATCAGATGTCAGGCAGGTTGTAATGTGTCATAAACCCAATGTCTATATTGAGTCTATATTTTTTGTATCCAGTAGATTTATGAAGTGAAGTTTGTAGGCTCATCTATGGAAGATGTTTTGTAAATTCCCTTTGAGAATTAAAACTGAGAGATCAGAGAGGAAGTGATTGTCCTGTGAGAAGTGTGCACCAGCAGGTAGTTGGGTATTCTTGTCTTTGATAGATTTTTGGTGTGCGTTCATTCTGGTGTGCAGTTGTTGTTTGGTTTCTCCAACATATTTTTCCATAGGGCATTTGGTGCATGGAATGAGATATATAATATTTCTGGAGGTTCCACTGTAAGATCCAGTAATGGTGATGGTTCTGTTGTGGGGTGCAGTTATACTGGGGGTGGTGGAGATATGTTGGCAGGTTTTGCGCTGAGGGGAAATATTTTGAAGAAACCAAACAACAACTACACAATGGAATGAACACACACCGAAAATATATCAAGGACAAGAATACCCAACTACCTCTGGGTGCACACTTCTCACAGGACAATCACTCCCTCTCTGATCTCTCAGTTCTAATCCTCAAAGGGAACTTACAAAACACCTTCCATAGATAAGCCTAAGAATAAATCATTTAATAAATCTACTGGATACAAAAAATCATGGACTCAACATAGACATTGGGTTTATGACACATTATAACCTGCCTGACATCTGATTCACCAGGTAGCTGCCTGACAGCCTCTTTTCTACCTTGTACTCTATCACTGCACTGTCTTCCTTAAGCCTTTTTTCCCCTGCTCTCTTCCCCCTCCCCCTCCCCCCTCTGCTTCACCTCTCTGCCTCACCTTTTGTCTTATTAATTCTACCTATTTACATTTTCACTAACATCCTGCCACACTTTTAGATCCTTTCATTTCTTGGAGTCTCAGAACAGCAGAGACTCCCTATGCCTGAAGAAGGGTGACTGTGCCCAAAAGCTTGCCAAGAATTTTTTTCCAACTACTCAGTTGCTCTAATAAAATATGTCACATCTACTCCAAGAACCTTGCCTTTCAAAAGGAGTGGCAGAGAAGGCACTGAGAAATGCCTGTCCTATTGTGTGTTGGTTAAAGTACCATATTGGGGAGTCAGAAAGAGCCAAAGATACCTCATCTTGGGTGAGGGGAAGCCTAGAATCCAAAGGATGAGAAGCCTGTCTTTCCATAGTATTGGTTGACTACATTTTTGGGCCTTGGATGCCGCTAGGGGTCCACAGGGGATGTGCATACTCTCTACAAAATGAGATGTTATTTATTTCATCCTTGCCACACTCCCAAGGATTAATTCCTATTCGCACCATGCTTTGAAAATGTGAAGTGCCATATAAATGCTAAATATTTTTTCTTCTGGAGTTCACAGGACAGTCAATGGGATTGATCCCAACTTCTGTTGAGCAACTGTAGCTTCTATAGATATCAGTTAATACACTGAAGTACCCGGCATTACTCAGATTCAATCCTAAAAAGCAATTGAGAACTAAATTGTCTAGCTGCACCCAGAGGGTTAGGATTGGTCACTTAAGCAGCAAGCCCATATTGCAGGGTAGGACTTCCCAAACCTACATCAAAAGTCTATTTTTATTCTGAATAGGCCTGAACCCAGGTAAACAGTTTGAAAACAAGTCTGTGGCACACCTCAAGCAGACCATCTCTTGATGGAGTGGGACTAATTTGCTTTTCAAATGTATCATCATACTTTAAGTTACAAAAAACACCATCCTACATAAAGAAGTGGTGTGGCTTCTATTTATATTATAGCCACTTGAGACTGAACACAAAATTGTTTCAACCATATAACCACACACAATGAAGAAGTTTCCATCCACGTTGACTAAGTCTATTGTAAAGGGCACCAAAAAAGAATAACACAGAGAAAAAAAATCTTTACTTTGAAAACACATTTCCTCAGGACCAGTAAGCTGCTAGCTCTATACTAAAATGTGGCAAATTCTAATTAAAAAGAGTTGTCAAAGTACCAAAACAAGATGCAACATAAATCAGAAAGTTTTGTAAGATAGATGGATTGAATAAAAAATGTTTTCAGATTAGCTGGCAATTTTTTTTTCCTCTAAAAAATCATAGGTACTGGTTAGACACCATGCATTAAATTTCAGAGGTATTTGTGCATGCAATTGCTGCCTCTACACAAGTAAATTGGCTGTACTTTATACACAAAGTGGGTATTTTCCTATTTATACACTCAAAACTAAAAGTGCAGTTCATCAGTTTACTATTACAGAAATCCTTAATATACTTCTTTAGTATCTGATGCAATCCATGTGGTGTGCATGAAAAGATATCTAGTTTTTAAGAGTGAATCTTTGGATGGGATGATGTGGTAGGAGATTTTGTTAAAGAAATAGCATTCAGTTGTAATTACTGAGCTTCCATTTATTTTCTGCTACTGTACTTTAGACTTCTGATAGACATTAAATTAAAGGGGGCACCAGCAGCAGATCACCAGCCACAGGAGTGTACTGGAGCCTTAAAGGGCTGGGAGCGCAGATCACTTTAAGGCATGATGGGAACCAGCCACAAAGTTGTTACACATATTCTGTGTAATAATGTTATAGCTTATTTCCTGTTTTATCATATCATTAACTAAATGAACATGTGACAAGGTTACCAGTTAAGATATGATTAACCTGTTATTGCAGATTAATCAGTTCAGCACATCTGTCATTTCTGCCATGGGCCTTAGGAACAGCTATTGGCAAGTGTAGGTTACTGAAGAGTTCAGCCAGAGTTCAGGTTGTTTTTTTGAAACCTGCAAAGGGATAATATTTAAAATAACCCTCTCTTTTTCTATATCCTGTCAAAACTACTGAGTTAACAGTTGACAAATGCTTTGATGCAACCAAAATCCAAACTTCCTTTAAAAAAAAAAGAGAAATGTAGTGGTTTTCCTTTTCTGTTATGTATGGTAACTTCAAAATTGCTTGCAGGTTTGCCTCTTAATTAGTCAGGTTTTGCTTTCTTGATATTTGTTATGTCATAACCTTACCACTTTTCAAGACAAACAAGTTTTGAGTTTCTAGATTAAAAAACATCAGGAAAAATAAAACTGTTTAAAAGTCCAAAATTTCAGGTTTTTAAAGCATATCTTTAACCAAAAAAGAGTGCAAGCCAGTTTTTTCCACTGTGCAGGTCAGCTTTAAACAGCTGATCTTATAAAACTAATCAGATCAATCAGGTAGGCCTAGCTTATCCTACCTTCAGTTGGACAGTTTGCTTATTTTCTAATTTGTTCCTTGGTTCTCTTGAGAAATACAGGCCATTCAGCGGGCCTGAGGGGAACTCCCCCCCCCACCCCCGGCTCTCTTTTGTGGTCATTGTGAAATAGCATGCAGTCAGTAATTTATTCCAGCTAAAGTGTGTGA